GGCAGGGGGCTGGACTTGATGACCTACTGAGGTCCCTTCCAACCCTAACATCTATGAATCTATGAAACACTGACCCGGTCGATGCACTCGTTCAATGGTTCCCAACTTTCATTAGACTCTAGGCCCTTCTCTGTTAGCTCCAGGCTTCCTCGTTTGAAAGGTACCTCTCGTTAGACTCCAGGGCCCCCTTGGAAAAAGACAGCTCTTCACTTTCACTCATTTCTAGACTATGAAGAAAATCCTAAAATGATTCTTCTGTTGCAGAATACTCAATGAACTCCCAGTTTCGCAACCAGGATAACTCTCGGGCCTTTGAGTGTATCCGGAGAAGTACAAGAAAATCCAAAGCAAGTTCCTCTGAACCGTGCACCGCTTTCTTGGGATATTATCAATCTGGCAATGTGACCAAGAGCAGCTCCATAAAGCAGAGAACACATGGACACACTTGCTGCCAGGTGGTGAGGCCTCAGGCCCTTCAGAATCCGTCCTTAGGGCACGTTCCAGACTCCCACCCCATCCACTCCACTTTGGTGTGGAGGAGTTTGATACAGTTCAGATTCAAATTTCTGTATTCACATGCTTTTCTGTGAGAGAACGATCTCCTGGCCAGTGGAGTAGAGACCTGGGAAACTGAGTCATGGCTCGGTTGTTCTTTCCTTCGTAGCATTGGGTGTGATTGTTGGCTGGCACGTCTCAACTCCCTTGGTCACCAGCTGTCTTCTCTCACTTGCTGGTGGCTGGCATTCAGACTGAACTGCTCCTGGGATCAGGGTATCTGCAAGCAGGAATGTAGTGAGCCACTGACCACAGCAGAAAGGAGTGAGGGGTGGTTCAGGACCCCACAACGCTGGCAGAGGAGGGAGGGAAAAGAAGCCTTCTGAGACAAAAGGACTGGATGGTGCTACTGTCTCACACCACAGAGAAGTGATAGAAAATAGAGAGAGAGGCAAAGGGTTAGGACAGAAAGCTAATGGCCTCCCGGGCTGCATTAGTAGGAGTGTTGCCAGTAGATTGATGGAAATGATTCTCCCCTTAATATATTCAGCACTGGTGAGGCCACATCTGCAGTCCCGTGTCTAATTTTGGGTCCCCCACTACAGAAAGGATGTGGACACATTGGAGAGAGTCCAGTGGAGAGCAACAAGAACGGTGAGGGGGCTGGGAGACATGATTTATGAGGAGAGGCTGAGGGAACTGAGCTTATTTAGTCTAGAGAAGAGAAGACTGAGTGGGGATTTGACAGCAGCCTTCAACTCCCTGAAGGGGGTTGTAAAGAGGATGGAGCTGGACTGTTCTCAGTGGGGGCAGACGACAGAATGAGGATCAATGGGCTCCAGTTGCAGGGAGGGTAGTTGAGGTTAGATATTAGGAAGAATGTTCTCACTAGGAGGGTGGTGAAGCACTGGAACAGGTTACCCAGAGAGGTGGTGGAGTTTCTATCCTTGGAGGTTTTGAAGACCCAGCTAGACAAGCCTTGGCTGGGATGATGTAGTTGGGGCTGGTCCTGCTTAAAGCAGGGGGTTGGACTAGATGTGACCTCCTGAGGTCCCTTCCAACCCTCATGTTCTATGATGCTATGACTGCTAACCCTGGACAAAGAGCCAGGACACCTAAGTTCTAGTGGGATCCTCCAGGATCTTCCCTCACTACACATTTGTTCAGAGTCCAGCATGGTGGGCTCTGATCCCAGCTGCACATGGGGCTGGTTCTGGCCCAGGGATCTGTACAGGGCCTGGTCAGGCCCCAATCCCAGCTAGGCCAGTGGTTGAGATCTACAAGTTGCTTGAGATCTACAGAGCACCTGGTCAGACCCCCAAGTGATAGAAACTTTGATGCCAGTCGATACAGCCAGGCCCATATCCAAGGGACTGGATATTTAATAGAAGCTTTCTCCAGGTGGGCTGAAGGTGCTGGAGAAGTCTGCTGAAGATCAACAACTCCCATGATGAAATCTCTGTCAGTACTAGCTGCCTTCCCTTGACACATGGTCCAAGAAAAGCATTGTTTGTTGATGTATTATCCCAAAAGTGTTATCCTTGGGTAAGATTCAGGTAGTTCCTGCCCCCACAGCAACCTCACACCCTTCTGAATTATACCAGGCTTGCATAGTCCCACCCCTATGGCTTGGTAGAGATAGGGCATTACAGCTGTGGGGGGAATTCCATGGCAAGGACCTAGCTTGATTTAATGGGAAATGCATTGTTGAATTCCCCTGGCAACTGCCATTGTTTGGGGTTCATGAACTATGGAGATAACGTGTTTCTGATCACTTCTCCTCCTGCAGTGCTTTCAGGTCAAGAGCCTAGCCAACTTTCAGAGCTGATGGGTTCCTTGGAATGTCCTGAGATTGTAAAAAATGACTTTCTTGGCTCTGAGCCCTGATGCAATGGGAGTCTGAGTGAAAAGTATTGCATAATTCAACTTCTCATGGGTAACATGAAGAAAATTCTCATCCCTAAGGAGGGGGCAGGAGCAGAGGACAGCGGTTGTGAAATTTCTCTCCCCCAGCTGAAGTCTATCATGAATTGTTTGCCTCCTGTCTTCATCCTGACAATGTCTCTGGGGAATTTTCCAAGGGATTTGAGGAGGGGTATGTTTCAGCCCTCTAGGCCCTATAAAAAAAGAGAGAAGCACTGTAGATCTGTCTGGAGGAATGTCAGAAACACCAGAGCACAGCTAGGTCAGAGGTAAGTGATTCTTTTCTGGTTTGTGCCTAGGCAAATTCTCCTGTTGTTTTTCACTAGTTGTCCCCAGACCAAGGAATTATCAGAGATGGGTGAAGTCAAGACTTTCCACCCCGTCGGGATCACCAGAAGAAGGTTGATTATGCAGAATTCTAGACAATTTAGAATGAATTCTAGCTAATTATAGCTAATTATTGTCTAGTGAATTATCTAGTCAGTTCATTATATAATGAATTCTAGCCATCATTCTAGGTAATCAGTTTTTTCTGGAGCATGCAACACCACCGTTTGAAGTGCTGACAACTAGGTTTTAATTCCAGTACCATACGGATCCTTATTATAACAATCAAAAGTACACAGCAGGTCCTGTGGGAAGTTTTAAAATCTCCTACTCAATAAACAAGGCACGGTTGTCTTGTGAATAAGCCCAACGCAATGACAGGATGATGGTTGTGTTAATATAAAACATTCCAGTTACCCGTTTTCCCGGATAGTTGGAGAGAGTCCAGTGGAGGGCAACAAAAATGTTTCATGGGGCTGGGGCACATGACATATGCGGAGAGGCTGAGGGAACTGGGCTGATTTAGTCTGCAGAAGAAAAGACAGGGGATTTAATAGCAGCCTTCAACTGCCTGCAGGGTGGATCCAAATGGGATGAAGCTGAACTTTTCTCAGTGGTGGCAGATGACAGAACAAGGAGCCTTGAGCTCAAGTTGCAGCAAGGGAAGTTTAGGTTAGATAATAGGAAGGACTTTCTCACTAGGAGGGTAGTAAAACACTGGAACAGGCTCCCCAGAGAGGTGGTGGGATCTCCATCCTCAGAGGTGTTTTAAGACCTGGCTAGACAACGCCTTGGCTGGGATGATGTAGTTGGAGCTGATCCTGCTTTGAGCAAGGGGTTGGATCAGATGTGACCTCCTGAGGTCCCTTCCAACCCTCATTTTCTAGAAGAGGTGGAGGAGTGGGGTTTTGATAAGTCTTTAAATACCTGAAAGGAGATTACAGAGAGGATAGAGACCGACTTTTCTTTCTGGCTATAGGGGAGAGGACTCGAAACAAAGGCCTCAAACAGCAGCAGCGGGAATGGAGGTTGGAGATGAGAAGGAACTGACTTTGAGGGTGGTCAAGCATTGGAACAGGCTCCCTAGAGAGGTGGTTGTATCAAGGGGCTTCTTCAGAGGTTGGACAGACACTGGGGTTGGGGTTAGTTATAGGTGAACCTGCCCTGGAGCAGGGGTCCAGACTAGATGCGACTACGAGGCCACTTCCAGCCCTACTTCCCCATGATCCTGTAATCACCTCTCTACTGTATCAGAATTGGTTGGGGTTCTGAATCGGAGTGAAAATAAGAAATTGTGCCTTTTCCTGGGGAAGGCAGTTTTCTATGCAGGTGAGTCCTGAATTGCTCAAATTACTGTTTTCTAGAACCAAAGAGAAGTGGGGCTGGAAGGGACCTCCAGAGGTCACATCTAGTCCACCCCCCTGCCTGAGGCAGGATCAGCCCTGTCCAAACCAATCCATAATCATAGGATCATGGAAAAGTCAGGCTGGAAGGGATCAGCCCTGTCCAAACCATCCCATTCAAATCCATAAGCAAAGGATCATGGAGAAGTCAGGCTGGAAGGGACGTGCTGAGGTCATAGTCATGGTCATAGAGAAGGCAGGATGGAAGGGACTTCCAGATGTTGTCCAGTCCAGCCTGAAGCAATACCATCCCTATCCAAAGTCATGGCCTAAGTTATTAGCAAAGCTACATGGTTACACCTGAACCTGCCACAAGTACAGCAGGGGGACTACAGTGGCCAATGCCCAGCTGTCACAGAGGTTGTTAAAATACACTCGGGAGATACAAGGAAGAGGTCTGGCCCCAGCTACAAAACAAAGCAAACCACAATCCGGTCTGTACCAGTCTGACCGTGGGGCAAAAGATCATAGAATCATAGACAATGAGGGTTGGAAGGGACCTCAGGAGGTCGCATCTAGTCCAAACCCTGCTCCAAGCAGGACCAACCCCAACTATATCATCCCAGCCAAGGCTTTCTTGAGCCAGGTCTTGAAAATCTCCAAGGGTGGAGACTCCACAACTTCTCTGGGGAGCCTGTTCTACTGCTTTATCTCAGTGAAAAAGTTCTTCCTAATATCTAACCTCAACTTCCCTTGCTGCAACTTGAGCCTACTGCTCCTTGTCCTGTCATCTGCCCCCACTGAGAACAGTCCTGCTCCATCCTCTTTGCAAACCCCCTGCAGAGAGATGAAGGCTGCTATTCAATCCCTGCTCAGTCTTCTCTTCTCTAAACTAAAGAAGCCCAGTTTCTTCAGCCTTTCCTCACAAGTCATGTTCCCCAACCCCCAAACCATTTCTGTTGCCTTCTGCTGGACTCTCTCCCATGTTTTCTTCTGCTGCAGACGTCCCATGTTGCGTGTCAATCAGAATAAGTGAGACTTGAGTGAGATGCCTGCCAAAAATTTTAATGCATTTCCTTTACCTGAAGGCTGGTTATACAGAGCATGGAGATGGACCGTTCTTTCTAGTGGCAAGAGACAGGACTAGAAACCATGGTTTCAGATTGCAGCAGGGTAAATTGAGGTTGACAATCAGGAAGAATTTTGCACTCCAACAGGGGTTCAGCTTTGGGACAGGCTGCCCAGAAATTGCGGGGGGGATCTCCGTCCTTGGATGTGTTTAAGAGCAGGTTGGACAGATGCTTGGCTGGTTAGTTCAGATGGGATGGATCCTGCCTGGAACAGGAGGTTGGACTAGATGGGACCTCCTGAGGGCCCAATTTTGCTATGATTCTCTCATCCAAAACACTTCCGTATTGGAGGCTTTCTTCCTCCTCCAGGTCTCATGAACCACCATGGTGCCAAAGGGCCAATTTCAAGTCCAAATCCAGATTTAGAGTCAACCCCTGGCCTGTGGCTCATGTCTGGCCACCAGAATCCTATTATGTGGCCCTTAGGGCTGCTCTTGGATTCAAAATCCTGGCACTGGGGGAGTGGTTGCTGTGGAGAGACCTGTGGTCCACAGTTAGTGGCCCTCCATGCTACATTGGACACACAGGGTGGCACGGGGACCAATGCTGGCACACACAACTGGTTTCAGGCCCAGTCCTGGCACACATGAGCCAGCTGAGGCTGCGCAGGGCCCAATCTGGCCTGTAGACCAGCCCCATGCCAGTCATCAAAAGGTTGAACCCTGCTGCCCTCATCTATACTAAGTCTTTTCTGCCTCTGCAGGAAGACCACTGCCCCATTTCATTGGCTCTCGCTCCATGTAGTAGGCAACTCGATCCTTCTAAACATGGTGTATGCCCCAGAGGTCATCCAGACCTTTGATGCATACACCTAGGCAGGTGTATGAAGGACTGAAGGCTGTCCAAGACCTTCAATCCCAATTTTGGATCATAGAGAAAGGGTCCAAAGGCCAGACTAAGTCTGGATATTCGGTGCCTCAACAGCTGTCATTCTGCACGTGTCCAGGAATCAAACCCAGGTCTCATGCGTGGTAGGCAAGGAGTCTACCCCTGAACCATGACAGCAGATCACTCCATGGATGTGACTTAAAAAAACAACTCATGAGACCAGCACTTGGCCACGAGGTGGCAGGAGAGTCCTTTTGTATGGACCAAACTACTGGATTGACTGATTGACCAAGCTACCCGATGGACTGTAATTGAACAAACTACCCAATTGACCAAACTACCCGATTGACTACCAAGTTGTGGGAAATTCCCTGCTCACAAACTGAGTTAATCTATCACTGAGTAAAGGTTGCCCTGGGGGAATATCCTGCCCTTAGGGACAGTTGAGTTTAGCAGGTTTCACTGATAACTGGAATATACCAAGTCAAAGTGCACGACCACATACCAGTACTTCTCTACCCTTTTGGACTCCAGGACACCCTCGTCAGACTCAAGGCACCCCTGGGAAAATCTCACTCCATTTTCACACTGTTGGATGTGCAACCATGATTCACAGTGTCAAACCAGAGTTTTCAAGTAGGAATTCATAGCATTAGAAACATTCTGAAATGCTGTGGCCTTTCTGAGGTCTCTGCCAAGGAAAATAATTGCTCTGTTATTTTTCTGTTGTCAAAAATGAGTGGAAAGTAAAATCTGGTATTTTCTGAGGGAGGCCTTGAGTTCAATAAAGACAAGTGCATGGTCCTGCACTTAGGATGGCATAATCCCATGCACTGGTACAGGCTGGGGACTGGCTGGATAAGCAGCAGCTCTGTAGAAAAGGACCTGGAGGTTACAATAAGCTGAATATGAGTCATCAGTGTGCCATTGTTGTAAAGAAGGCTAACGGCTTCCTGGGCTGCATTGGCAGGAGCATTGCCAGCAGGTCAAGGGAAGTGATTCTTCCCCTCTACTGGTAGGAGTCCTGTGTCCATTTTTGGGGCCCCACTACAGAAAGGTTGTGGGCAAGTTGGAGAGAGTCCAGCAGAGGGCAACAAGAATGGTGAGGGGCTGGGGCACATGACTTGTGAGGAGAGGCTGAGGGAACAGGGCTTGTTTAGCCTGGAGAAGAAAAGACTGAGGGGGATTGAATAGCAGCCTTCAACTCCCTGCAGTGTAGCTCCAAAGAGGATGGAGCTGGGCTGTTCTCAGTGGAGCAAGGGAAGTTGAGGTTGGATATTAGGAAAAACTTTCTCATGAGGAGGCTGGTGAAGCACTGGGACAGGCTCCCCAGAGAGGTGGTGGGATCTCCATCCTTGGAGGTTTTGAAGACCTGGCTAGACAAAGCCTTGTCTGGGATGACGTAGTTGGGGCTGGTCCTGCTTTGAGTAGGGGGTTGGACTAGACATGACCTCCTGAGGTCCCGTCCAACCCTCATGCCCTGTGATTCTGTGACTGCAAGGCCACTATCCCATACCAGTGTGCTAGCAAAAGTGACAATCCCCATTGTCCCTGACTCAATAGTGTGTTTCCTCTTGAGGCACCAGGTCCAACTTCCTTGCCAATATCCTAAATCATTGAGGAGCAGAGATGTCCCATTGATTTCTCTCTCTCTCACTGCTATTTTTTTACCTTTATTTTCCAGCTATGGGGGTCCCACACCACTTCTTGCCCTGCTGGGTCTATGCCATCATGATGCTGTGTGGTAAGTGTTCCCCCTGGATTGAGAACCATGGTCTAGGCAAAGCAAGGGACACTCAGGCATTTGGCATCTTGGTTGACCTCCAGTGCTTAAGGGCGCAAGTGAGAATGCCTACTTGAATGACTCTTCCTTCATTTGTTGCTTGCCCCATTGCCCCACCTTTTTGGTGTCAAGCAGCCAATTGAGGCTGCTGCAGGAGACAACCAGAGCTCTTCTTCCTCCCGTGCTGTGACTGATAGGATCAGTCCGTGAGGTTCAACAACCCATGGAGCTGTGTCATCCAGCTCTTCAGGCTCCCCACATCTCTAGAAATTTGGGGGTGGGTGCGCAGTGGTTCTGCTGCTTCAGATTTCCGGACCTGTGGGAAGCCCCATGGGCCAGATAACATGGCCCTACAAGCTAGATCATGCTGGCATACAGGATCTCTTCATGTCTGGATCCAGGCATGTGAGATCAGGCATGTGGGGAGTCAGGCTTGCACACTGGATCACACCATGGACTGACCACATACCACATGTCCAGCCCGTGGGACCTGTGGGTTGGGCACCACTGGGATAGTTCCTTTTCTCCTTCCCCCAGGCCCAAATCTTCCAAGGCTCATGATAGTCTTTCACACCTGTTTCCTCTGCGTTTGTAGGTGTTTCTGATGTGCTTCTCAGCGTCGCATCAGGGGAACATCCGGATTCGACATTTTCCGGTCCTCTCGGAACAGAGTTCATCACGACTTTCATACAAAATGGCTTGGGCCACCCTGGCAATCCCATGTTGTTCATCACTGCCTACACTCATCCCACCGCTGTTACTGTCTCCGTCAATCAGGTGGTTTATAAGGTCGTCACCATCCCTTCTGGGCAGACAATAATGGTGACCCTCTCCCCACAGACAGAGCTGAAAGGCATCAGGAAGTTCGACAATACAGTCACCATCCGGGCGGAGAAGAAGGTCTCTGTTCTCTCTTTCAACTCAAAAGAGCACTCTGCTGATACTTCCATTGTGTACCCCGTGCGGAGCTTAGGGAAGGAGTATTATGTCATGACCCCCCTCCTAGGCCCAAGGACCACTACTGAGTTTGCCATTGTTGCCTGGCAGGAACCGACCACAGTTGACATCTCCCTCGAAGGGCATGTCACATATGAGAGAGAAAAATATCTGCCAGGGAGAAAACTGACCCTGCAGCTTAATGCCTATCAGGCAGTCCAGCTGCAAAGTTATGAGGACCTGTCCAAGACCAGAATCACCTCCGGAAAACCCGTGGCCGTCTATTCAGGGGCATACGTGTGTGGTGGGAAACGTATCCAATGTGAACATGTCAGTGAACAGCTGCTGCCGGTGTCCAGCTGGGAATTATCTTTCATCGTCCCGCCATTGCCTTTCAAGACGGAAGGTGATTCGGTGTACCTCCTCGCATCTCAGGGCACAGAGGTCCATTTACTAAATGGGGAAACTGAAAGCAGCCGGTTCATCGAAGGCAAGGAAATGGCCAAATACCTGGTCTCGCAGCCACTGGTTATATCTGCCAACTCCGCAGTCCAAGTCCTCTTCTTCTCTTCTGGAGGGAAGAAAGGGAGTATGATATTTGAACCATTCTTCATGACTATCCCTGGCCTCTCCAGCTACTGCCAGTCCTACAACATCTATGGGCACAACCAGTTTGAGAACTATGCGCTGATCATCGCCAGGACGTCGGCAACCACCGGGATCACCTTTGATAAGAAACCACTGGACAGTGTCACCTGGAACGCTATTACAGACACAGAATACTCTTGGGCTGAATATAGCATGGGGAAGGGATTTAGCACCCATTCTATGGAGCACCCTACTGCCCCATTCGGGCTTCTGAGCATTGGGATTGGAGATCACAAAGCGTACGGGTCCCCAGCTACTTGCACAGGGGGTATGTTCTGGTTTTTTTTAATGGCCTCATTCCACCTCTTCTTGGTTCCCTCCTTGCTTTTGCCCACAACAGACTCAAGCAGCTGTGGGAAATAGATAGGCACATTCCTTGGCTGCTTGAACACAAATATCTAAAGTAGTTATAAAGATGCTGTTACTTGAAGTACCCTCTTCAGCTTTCAGGGTTAATACCCCATTGAGGTATTAGCCCTGATAAAACCAACCCAGTCAAATATCCGTCCAACCTGCTCTTGGAAATTTCCAGGGATGGAGACTCCACAATGTTTCCAGGTAGCCTGTTCCAAGGCTTGACTGTCCTTATAGTCAGGAAGTTCTTCCTTACCTCCAACCTCAGTTTTCCCTGCTGCAGCTTGAGGCCCTTGCTCTTAGTCCTGTCCCACAGAGAGTTGTCCATCTCCATCCTCTCTGTCTTCACCCTTCAGGGATTTGAAGCCTATGATCAAATTCCCCCTCAGTCTTCTCTTCTCCAGACTCATTCACCCCAGCTCTTTCCACCTATCCTCATCAATCCTGTTTCCCAGGCCTCCGGTCATTATTGTCACTCTTCAATCTGTCTACATCCTTTGTGAAGTGCAGGGCTCAAAACTGGACACAGGGCTCCAGGCGAGGCCTCACCAGTGCTGAATAAAGGGGAAGAATCATGTCGTTTGTGAATGCAGTTGATACAGCCCAGGAGGCTGTTGGCTTTTTTGGCAACAAGAGCCCACTGTTGACTCATATTCAGATTATGGTCAGGGTCTTTGCAGACTCAGGCAGATAGTATAGACGTTACTATTAAATGCATTAATTGGATGCTTTTAGCATAACCATATAGGGCGGGAATTTATGTAAACTCAGAGCACAGAACATGGTGAAATTTGGCAGCTACACAAGGGCAAAAGAGTTAGAACTCACATCTAATTATCCTTGTCCATTCACACCTTCCACATTTCTTCTCCCAGATATTCACCCCCCTTCCTGCGACTCCAAGGTCTGTGAGAAGGGCACAGCCTGTGTGATGAGAGATGGGGAGCCACAATGCACGCCACTGACCAACGGGGTGTGTTGGGTCATGGGAAACATGCATTACAAAACGTTTGATGGCCAGAATTACAACTTCCAAGGCACGTGCATCTACACCTTGGCCAAGACTTGTGGAGATGACAGCAGCCTCCCTTCCTTCCACATTGAAACCAAGAATGAGAAGAGCATGACTTCACAAGTGGCTATCCACGTCCATGGCGTCATCGTCACTGTGGGCAGGTTTGAAGATGGCTTTGTGAAGGTGAGCGGTATATGTTCTTCTTTCTGCATGCTCTTAAATTTGTTGGGTCACTGTAGCCCTTACGATCACAATTCATCAGTTAAGCAGGGCCACGTTTCTCTGGTACTTAAAGAAGAGGCTTCCAAGCTGAGTTGTGAGGTGTGAAATTAGTGCAACTTTATCTGCCAGGGCCCCAGAAGATGGTGGGCGTGTGGGTGGCTTAGAAAAAAATTCCACTGGGACAGAGGGGCTCTTTGGCTTCTTATTTTAGTAGTAGCCTAGGGATAGATGCTCCTGTCAGGGGAATTGGTTGAGACCCACAGAAAACAATTAATTCACTCTAGATTTACAAAGCATCTCTGGGTGTGTCTACACGTGCACTTTAATGTGCATTAACCTATTTTAATGTGCATTAAAGCATCACAAAAAAGTGCTCTTTAGCTAATGTGCATTAAAATAGGCTAATGCACCTTTTTCTAGCACCTCAGATTTCATGCACATTAATGAAAGCATGTTAATGCACATATAGATGTGGCCACTGAGAATCAAATCTGCTTCTGACCTGTCTGAGCTTAGCAGTTATTCCAGATTTATTCTGTGATGTAAACGAGGGGAAAACAGAATAGTGCACTATTCAGGTATAAAAGCCTGGAGAAGAGAAGACCGGGCGGGGGTGGGGGGGTGTTAAATAGCAGCCTTCAACTCCCTGAAGGGTGGTTCGAAATAGGAAGGAGCTAGACCAGTGGTTCCCAAACTGCATAAATGGGGTCGTGCTGAGGAAAAGTTTGGGAAGCACTGAGCTAAACTATGCTAAACTATGGTGGCAAATGACAGAACAAGGAGCAATGGGCTCAAGTTGCAGAATGGGATGTTTAGGTAGGTTATCAGGGAAAACTATTTTACTAGGAGGGTGGTAATGCACTGGAACAGGTTACCTGGACAGGGGGTAGCATGTCCATCCTTGTATTTTTTGAAGATCTTGCTGGATAAAGACTTGGCTGCGATGATGGAGTTGGGGCTGGTCCTGCTTTGAGCAGGGGGGGTGGACTAGATGTGACCTCCTGAGGTCCCTCGCATCCCTCATTTTTTATGATTCTATAAAAAAGAGCCAGCCAGCTACAATGTCAGTGCTTGAAAATGTGTAACAACTCTATAGCCAGTTTCTACCCAGCTTTGATTTGACAGGGTAGTGTGCCCCCAAGTCAATTTGTTTTGTAACTACAGTGGGTACCTGTATGTCACCAAGTTGATGGTGGGGTTGAAAGACTATGTATTCAGGCGATTTATGCCTTTAACCAAACTGCAGACAACCACTGTCTATCAAAAGGTAATAAGAAAAAAAATTGAGAGTACAAGGTAGCAAATTAGACACTCATCTGAAAGGCATATAAGTGGTATGCATGGTACTATCTGTTCAAAGGGGAATGTCCTGTCTGTCCTAGGTGAACGGGGAGTCTTACAACCTTCCTGTGATCATGGCTGGAGGTCAGCTCAGGGTATATCAGCATGGCAGGAACATCATGATACAAACCAGCTTTGGCCTCACCGTGAGCTATGACCTGGCTTACCATGTGAGAGTCACTGTCCCCTGGAAGTACCAGGGCCAGGTGTGTGGCCTGTGCGGGAACTACAACAAGGATGAAAAAGATGAGTTCTCTCTCCCAGGGGGCTCCCTCGCCCCTGACACAGCGGCATTTGGCTCCGCCTGGAAAGTCCCAGGAGTGTCCTGTACAGATGGATGCGGTGGGAACAGCTGCCCTGTCTGTGAAGGAGGAAAAGTTGAAAAACTTCAACAGGAAAACTACTGTGGTATCCTTTCAGCAGAGTACGGTCCCTTTGCTGACTGCCACAACAGTGTGGACCCCAGCCCATATTTCAGCAGCTGTGTCTACGATCTATGCCTGGGCAGAGAAGACAGCCAGATCCTGTGCTGGAGCATTCAGAGCTACGTGATGGCCTGCCAAGATGCGGGTGTCAACATCCAGTTGTGGCGAAGTGACTCCTTCTGCCGTAAGTGTCATTCGGCTGGTCTAGCTGGTGAGCCAGCCGCTCTCACTTCCCTTTATTTTGGTGCGAGATGAGTCTGGGCTTTTCTGGGACTGTTCTGGGTCAGAAGTTAATGCCCAAAGTGTCTTCTTTCTTCTCGGGGGCTCCATCCTTCTTCTGCCTGTCCCATTCTAGTCCACAGCATTTGTGGACAAATTGGAGAAAGCTGGAGACAAATTGGAGGGAGTCCAGCAGAGAGCAACAAAATGGTTCGGGGGCTGGGGCACATAACGTATGAGGAGAGACTGAGGGAACTGGGCATCTTTAGTTTCGAGAAGGGAAGACTGAAGGAAGTTGAAGGCTGCTATTAAATCCCCCAGAAGGGTGGTCCCGAAGAAGATGGAGCTGGGCTGTTCTCTAACACAGTGGCAGATGACAGGACAAGAAGCAATGGGCTCAAGTTGTAGCAAAGGAGGTTGAGGTTATTAAGAAAAACTTTCTCACAAGGAAGGTAGTAAAGCACTGGGACAGGCTACCCAGAGGGCTGGGGGGATTTCCATCCTTGGAGGTTTTGAAGACCTGGCTAGACAAAGCCTTGGCTGGGATGATGTAGTTGGGGCTGGTCCTGCTTTGAACAGGAGATTGAACTAGATGTGACCTCCTGAGGTCCCTTCTAATCCTATGATCTATGCTGTCCTCTTCCATCTCCCCACCTGTTTTTCCCCTTGTTCCATTCTTCTCCTCCATGCCTATCATCTCTTCCTCCATGTCCCTTTCTCTGGAGCATGAGTGTCAAACTGGTTTCATGCACACAGCTTGGTGGAATAAGAAGGGAACAGCATTTGGACTGTAACAACTAGATCCTTCTTAAAAGCTGTCCTAAAAGCCTTGCTTGTAGCCGAGTTGCGTGTTTGCTCAGAGCTGCTGCCCAACCACCCTATGCCCAACGGAGCCCCATAGCCCTGGATTCTGCAGCAGGCTTCATCCCAGCTAGCCCTTCCTGCATTTCTCTAGTCCACCAGGAGCCCAGCATGCCAAAGGGAACAGCTTAGTGAGTGACAAGCCATATGTTTGACACCCCTGCTCTAAAACCCGGTATAGGATCCTTCCATGCAGCTGTGATTTCTTTCTGTATTTAAGCGCTGAGCTGCCCAGCCAACAGCCACTACCATGCCTGTCCAGACCTCTGGACCCACACTTGCTATGAGCTCAAAACCAGCCTGGACAGCCCCAAGACCTGTGCTGAAGGCTGCCAGTGTGACAACGGCTTCGTCTTCAATGGCCAGGACTGTGTGGTGAAGGAGAGCTGCGGGTGCTTTAAGGATGGGAGATATTACCAGGTACTGTCCTCCACTAAACAATATGGTTAGAATCATAGAAAATGTGGGTTGGGAGGGACCTCAGGAGGTCACATCTAGTCCAACACCCTGCTCAAAGCAGGCCAAGGCCCAACTGGATCATCCCAGACAAAGCTTTGTCCAGCTTCTGCCCCTCCTTCTCTGTGCCTGTCCAAACTGCTGTGCTGTGGTGGGGGCTCTTGTGGTGGGAGAAAACTCCCTAGAGTTCATTGTCTAGCTGCATAGGGACCAGGTAACACGGGTAAAGTATTGACTGCAGTTTATTTGCTCGAGCAATGACCATTAAGCCAGCAAAAAGGCAAAATGGCCTCCCCTAAAGGGTGGGGCGTTCTTTTATACTTTTTACAATAAGGCAAGACTGCAGGGTTAACAAAAGCCTTGGGCGGTGCTTTATAAATCTTCATAACAGCATATTTCTATTAAGCTGAACTAGCACTTTCTAAAAGCTAAAAGTTAAGTAACAGTAACATTATGATATGTTAGCAAAACCTTGCACAGTGGGAGATACTTCTTAAGGACACGATCACTGTACTTAGAACAACGGCTTCTTTGTCTTATCTTGTTTCTTGCTGTAGCTGATTTTACAGCACACAGACACAGATCCACTTGCTGCATTTTATTCCGAAAATGGTTAACACGGTTAAAATGATTACTTAACACAAGCAAAGGCTTAACTACCATTCTGCCTTGTGGTCAGCGGCATTGCTAGGCCGCAGGTCATGCCTTGTATTCAGCTGCAAAGCTAATACTTCTTAATAATCCAAATTATTGTTAACCTAACAGTATGCTATCAGAAAACTATTCTACTTCAGGGTAATAACAATCATGCTCACTACACTCTGGTCCCTTTGGCTCATGCAGTTAACCACAATCCACAGGTTTTCAGGTTCTTTACACTTGGGAGGAAATACTGATGCAATGAGTCTATTCTTATTGACAAAGAACAGCTACGCAATCCTGGCTCTCTTAGTGCAGTTGCTGTCAGGCTTTTTACTCAGAAATCTGCATATGTCTTCCTTTAACCAGTCCAGTGGCCCAAAAGCTCTGTATTGAAGAAAGATGGATTATTACTGAAGTAACCATAACTGTGAACTGAGAACCCACTGTGCTAGGCACGGTCCAAACAGAAAACAAGAAAACTGTTGTGGCTCCAAAGAGCTTGCAATCAATGAGTAACTGGAGAGGTCAGGCCTTCCTATTTTATTTCATTAAACAACCCCTTGTTCTTTTGCTTCAGACTAGTGGTTTTCAACCTTTTTAGAGGCAAGGCATGCCTCGTTAGGCTCAAGGAATGCCTTTGTTAGACTCCAGTCCCTCATTAGATCCAAGACATCCCTCGTTAGACTCATTGTCCTCCTCATTAGACTTGAGGCACCCCCATTAGGCTCTATACACCCTCATTAGACTCAAAGTCCCTCTCATAAGACTCCAGGCTCCCCTTGGAAAATCCCAGCTCTCACTTGTTTTTTGACTACAGAAAAATCCTAGAGCAATATTTCTATTGCAAAAAACTCAGAAAGATCAGAACATGTCAGAACAATAAAATCATAGAAAATTCGAGTTGAAAGGGACATAATGCTGTTGACATGCTGGATTCCTATTGGAAGGCTCTGGGTTTATCTTGCGAATCATACAAAAGTGTTTGTGCACCTACCAGTGATAATACTGTATGGCACCCCATAGCACTCTTGAGAGATCTCCGGTACCCAAAATCACTAGCTTAGATGGTGCACTATCTAAGGTCCTTCCATGGAGTGTTGGATAAAGCCTTGTCTACACAGGAAAAAGGAGAAAAGACTGAGGAGGGATTGAATGGCAGACTTCAATTCCCTACAGGGGGGCTGCAAAGAGGATGGAGCTGCACTGTTCTCAGTGGGGGCAGATGACAGAACAAGGAATGGGCTCAAGTTGCAGCAAGGGAAGTTGAGGATGGATATTAGGAAGAATTTTCTCACCTGAAGGGTAATAAAGCACTGGAATAAGTTACCGAGAGAAGTTGTGGACTTTACATCCTTGGAGCTTTTGAAGACCTGGCTAAACCAAGCCTTGGCTGGGATGATCTAGTTGGGGCTGGTCCTGCTTTGAGCAAGGGGTTGCACTAGATGTGTCCTCCTGAGGTCCTCTCCAACCCCCATTTTCTATGATTCTATGACTAGCTATTCTGGAGAAAATGATTCCAGGATAAAATAGCTATTCCAGAATAATTTCACTCTGTTCCTGAATAAAAGTGATTTTATCCAGTAGTTTTGCTCTGAAATGATACAAGTAAGGGAAATTCTTCCAAACATTAACATATCATGGCTCCTGGTGCTGAGCTATTCAATGCTGATTTATGATGATCTTTCCTTAATGAACTGGATTGATCTGTTGCCTTTCAAACACCTTGTCAGCCCAACGAAAACGTCCTGGTGAACAAGTGTCAACAAAGCTGCACGTGTCGCTCTGATCATGAGGTCATCTGTAAGGCCCACCGCTGTGCCAGTGATGAGAACTGCGAGGTTAGAGATGGCATCATGAGCTGCATCAATAAAGGTAAGATCATCATTTGAAAAGGAGATGGAGATAGAATGGGATGACAATGTAGAAGAACTATTGTGGCAGAGCACCTTTGGTGTCTGCCACTTTAAGGGCTTATGGCAGCAGATGGGCCTACCTCCACATGAGTGATAACTGAAGCAAGTTGCCCTGTGAGGGACTAGAGGCTGAGTGCAGCCTAGTGCGGGGCATAAGGGTGCTGCCTCAGAGAGTAGGGATTGCTCGAGTGACCTGAAGGTGCTGCATGTGCACTGGCCAGCATGAAAATAGTTAAGCCTGATGGCCCAGGGGGGTTGCTCAGAGGAGCAGGGCAGGTTGGGAGCGGCTCAGCGAGGGGCAGTATGGAAGAGGCCCTGTGAGAGGGGACGGAGTGCATGAGCAGAATGTGCGAGGCCCAGCAAGGGGCGGAGTTTAGTCCAGCCTCCGGTCGGACCAGTGGTTGACTTATGATGCCATCTGCAAGGCATGGGACACGGTGTAGGGATAGCACGGAGCCATGTACAATGCCCCTTGGCACTGGAGCACTAGAATGGGTTGCCTCCTGCATTTTACACCAGTTTATTAAACAGCAAGTCGTGGCAGGCGTGGCTGGGCGGACTGCCCCACATAGACAGGTGGGCAAGCCAATGTTAAGGCCTGGCCCTGAGCTGGCCTCCTGTCACAGCCATCATAGAGAGGTAATGCCAGGCCTTCAAAGGCTCTTTCATCTGCCAGAGAAAGACAAAGTGAGAAGTAGGAGCTGAATGTTAAAGCCATTCTAATTAGGAATAAGACATTGATTTCCCACAAGGGGTGCCCCTGCCAAGCTTCATTTGTTTTCATGCTCTCTGGAATTAATTCTCTGAGATCAATTATTTCCAGATCCCTGCAAAGTCCAGAAATGCCGGGCCCAGGAGAAATGCAACGTTGAGAATGGCCGAGCGAAGTGTGTCCCAAAGTATTCTGCATCCTGCACGGGCTGTACAGGCCTCCACTACCGCACCTTCGATGAGCTGCGGGTGACCTACCAAGACACCTGCACCTATACTATAGCCTCCTACTGCGGTGATGACCCCACCCTGTTGCCTTTCACCATCAATGAGAAGAACAATTGCATCAGAAATGCATCTGCCTCTGAACAATGGGCGACGAACATCAGAGTCTATGGGTACAAGATCACCATCTACAGGACAGAAGTAGATCTTATCAGGGTGAGATTCCCAGCTCAGATCTTATTTGGATTCCTGTTTGAAGGTTTTGAAGACCTAGCTAGACAAAGCCTTGGCTGGGATGATGTAGTTGGGGCTGGTCCTGCTTTGAGTAGGGGGTTGGATGTAACATACTGAGGTCTCTTCCAACCCTCATTTTCCATGGTTCCATGATTCCATCTTGTCAAACATGTGTAGGTGTGCAAACACTTAATCATCCTAGCATCATGTGTCCTGTGACACACTTAAAATTATCTCAGGACTCTGGTGAAGAATCACTCCCCTAGTTGTAGGCAGGGAGTGGTCTACTGGGAATGACAGCTTTCCATCCAAAACTACTGATGTGCCAAAATCAAGACCTTTTTTTTAGGAATTGATCACCTTTGTCTTATTTTATAATGAAAAATCAGTAAAATATTTCATACAGAACACTATGCGCTAATGTCAGAGCACTTTGAAACAACTATAGAAGCGATGTAGATGTGCATGTACATGTAGACATAGACATAAATGTAGATGTAGACGTAGACATAGGTGATTAGATTAGATTTGAGTATGAAGGAAGAAACCTAGTAAATATGGCAGGGACAGGTGCACTGCAAACTTGCACAAGGCCTAATGATGATTAGTGTTGAATTTTAGTGTGGGAAAAACCCTGTTTCCCATAAAAAAAAAAGCATTTTCCATGGAAAACACTAAAACAGCTATAGAGAGATTCAAGTTGCCACTGGAACTAATTCTTCCCTCCTCTCTCTCCAGTTGAATGGCGTGACCGCTGCTCTCCCGCTGACTCTGAAAGATGGTAAAATCGAAATTGTCCAGATCAACCACCGCCCTGTCCTACGGACAGATTTTGGCCTCCGTGTGACCTATGATACGGCCTGGATAATCACAGTGACTGTCCCCAGCAGTTATTATGGAGCCACTTGTGGTCTGTGTGGAAACTTCAATGGTGTTTCCAAGGATGACACAACATTTCCTCTTGGGCCAATATCTGAAGTGGACTTCTCCAATTCCTGGAAAGCTGAGGACACAGACATAGCCTGCTGGGATTATTGCCAAGGGAGATGTCGCGAGTGTGAGCTCGGAGAGAGACAGCTCTACGGTGATGACTATCGCTGCGGAATAATCACCAAAGCTCTAGAGGGGCCCTTCAGAGACTGTCATGCCCGAGTGAATCCTGACGATTTCTTCCACAGCTGCATCCATGCCATGTGTCTGAACTGGGGGAACCAGAGCCACCTGTGCCAGGAGCTGGAAGCTTACGCCATTGCTTGCAGGAAGCATGGGGTCACTGTCGATGATTGGAGGACTCCATCCAGTTGTGGTAAGCTCACCAGTTGGACTTCCTTAGCCGCAATGGGTCTAAGCAGTCTCAGTAGTTGAAAGATGATGTGTAGGCTTGGGAATAGTGTGGGGCCCAAAACTGGACGCAAGAGTCCAGATGTGGCCTCATCAGTGCCAAATAGAAGGAAATAATTACTTCTCAATCTTGTGGCAGTGCTTCTACTAATGCAGCACAGGATACCGTTAACCTTCTTGGCAACAAGGGCACACTATTGGCTCATAAATGTCGTTTAATCAATTGCGCTGGTTTTTAAGTCTTCCTATCTCTCTCTCCCTCTCTCTCTCTCTCTCTCTCTCTCTTTCTCTGACCCAATCCCAGATTTACCATGCCCTGACAACAGCCATTATGAGGTCTGTGGATCTGCCTGTCCAGCCACCTGCTCTGACCGAACAAGTCCTTCCTCCTGTAAGAAGCCCTGTGTGGAAACCTGCCAGTGTAACGATGGCTACATCCTCCATGCTGGCGAGTGCATCCCTGTGGAGAGCTGTGGCTGTTACTATCATGACCACTACTATAAACCCAATGAGACATTCTGGTCTGATGACAAGTGTCACACACAATGTAGGTGTGAACGCAGCCAGGACATGCATACTGTGGTTTGTAAGAAGTCCCGGTGCAAAGTTGGGCAAAAATGCGTCGTAGTGGATGGTGTCCGGGGTTGCCACGCACTCAAGTACTCCATCTGCATAGGAACTGGAGACCCGCACTATACCACCTTTGATGGGAAGAAGTTTGATTTTATGGGTAGCTGTATCTACCAGCTAGCGGGGACCTGCTCTCCAAACCCCAAGCTTGTCCCATTCACTGTCAAGGTGGAGAACAACAACCGTGGCAACAACCTGGTGTCTTTCACCAAGGTGGTGACCTTGGAGGTCTATAATCTGACCATCAGCCTGAGCCAGGAATATCCACAGAAGATCCAGGTATGGAACCACATACAGCGAGTCATTGCAAGCATCTGTTGGGGCACATCTACACGTGCACTTTAATGCCCATTAGCCTATTTTAATTTGCATGAAAACCTCACTGAACAAAACCCATGCTATTTAGTTGATGCATATTAAAATAGGTTACTACGCATTGTGTCACTTAAAAACTGTGCTCTTTAGCTAATGTGCATTAAGACAGGCTAATGCACACTTTTGTAATACCTCACAATGGAGGTACTAGATTTAATGTGCATTAACTAAAACAGGTTATGTGTAGATGTGTGAAGTTGACAGGCTCTTCCCAGATTGTGTGCCTGAAATCTTTCTATGTCAGGAAGACACCACTCACTTCAGCACTGGGTTTTAATCCTCAAACCTCAGGCTTTATCCATCCTATGTGTCAGAGCCTGCCTGTACTCAGACACCAACCCAAAACCAGTAAACTCTTCAGGTTCCTCTGGCATATCTGGGTGGTATCCAGGAGACACACTGCATGGCCTGTTGTTCTCTCACCCAAAGCTTTTTTCTGTATTTTCCAGGTGGACGGGGTCTTTGTAGACCTGCCATTCTACCATAAGGACAAACTGAAGGCCTACATCAGTGGAGTCCATGGTTTCATCCACACAGATTTTGACCTGAAAGTGAGCTTTGACTGGTACAGTTATGCCAGGGTCATTGTTTCCAGTATGTATGCCAATGCCATGTGTGGGCTCTGTGGTAACAACAATGAAGACACCGCTGATGATATGACCATGAAGAATGGAACTCTGACATCTGATGAGATTCAATTTGCTGACAGCTGGAAGGTCGGGGAGGTCCCTGGGTGCCACGCAGGATGCGTCAAGGACTGCCCTAAATGTACTGAAGAGATGAAGAAAACGTACAGGGGTGACAAGTACTGCGGGGTCATCATCAAAAAGAATGGGCCGTTCCATTTCTGCCACAAAGTCATTGACCCAGCCTCCTACTTTGATGACTGTGTCTTTGACACATGCCAGTACAAAGCTCACCACGATACACTGTGTAGCGCCATCAGCACTTACGTGACAGCCTGCCAGGCTCAGGGCATCCGGATAGGGAAATGGAGATCAGCTGCATTCTGCAGTAAGTGAGACCCACTGGAATCTTCTTTCATTTTTTGCCAACATGAACCACGCTGTAGGCAGGCCACTGTTTCCAGCTGTTCACAGTCACATCTGTTATCACTGGCTTTATACTGACGGCAAATCTCCCTGAGCTCTTTTGCTTTTGCAAGAGGAAGAAGATGGTCCTAACCCCCAGGGCTGTCCAGGTGGGCTGCTAGCTGCATGCGTGCTGCAGCTAGCAGCCCACCTGGAGGCAGCACCCGCTGGATCAAGTGGTGCATTTGGCACTGGAAGCCCAGGCGTGCTTGGGGAAGCTTAGGCTTGGCGG